AGGGAAGTCGATGAGATAAGAAAAACCAGAAGATGCAATGATACCAAGACTCAGATTTTGTCACACTGCACTAAAGAGCAGTCAATTCATGAGAAAATAAAGAAACTCAGTGAGCTGCTGCTTTTGTGATCAGGAAGAGATGGCATAGCATATTATGCATTACTGTCATAAATGTGTCGGTAAAAGGCTTCTGTGTGTCGCTGTGAGACAGACTGCTATAGGAGATAATTTTCCCTGCAATTAAGTATAAGATTATAAGAATAAGAGTTAAAAAAAGTTTAATTTCCTCTCAGGATATTTTTTTTATATATCTGTAACATTTTTAATTATAAATTAGGCATATATGTAGGGCTTTACAAAAGTTTGAAAAGATTATTATGATAAGATAGAAATAGCACTATTGGGAAACAAGAAGTTATATCCATTGATATTTCAGTTTATTCAATATTATGCCCTGTTTTGGTGGATTTAAGGTATTTATGCAGCCTATGCATTAGTTGTGTTTTCATACTAAAATCCTGATCTAGACTCAGTTCCAGTAAGCAGCCACAACGCGCTTTTAGGTTGATGTCAACCCCCAGCAACAATATATGAAGAAGAAGAGAGGGGTGATTACACCATTAGGAACCAGTGTAGAAAAGAAGGGCTTTATAGCAGTCACATGCAAAGTCATCAATGTTACTTCAAGACAACACAGGAAAAGCCATATTATCAAGCCGGTGGTAGAAGCTGCCATATAGTTTTTAGACATCAAAAACATTAAAGCTGAAGATATATAGTACATGCTGGGAGTTGGATTAAAAATGGATGAGAATTCAAAAAGTATGTAGTAGAATCCAAAGTTAAACCTGATATTGTTTGTATTCAAGAAACATGGCTGAAACCTCATCTTGATTTTATCCTACCTGGATATGAATCCTTTAGAGATGATAGAGATGGTAATGAGGGTGGTGGATGTGCAATGTTGGTAAGAAATGTCATTAGCAGGAGGAGTAAACCCAACAGAAATAGAATCTATAATCATTTAAATAAACAAATTAGATAAAAAATTAACAGTGATCAATCTATAGAACCGTTGTAAACCATTGAGCCTAGAAAC